GTTTGGAGTCGTTGTTTGTCGAGGTTTATATCAGGCTGAGAAGATGTATTTGTGCAAATACACATTTGTGTCTTTGCTCTTACGCAGAGGGTTTTCTTAGTTTGCCCAAATTCTGACAGTGGATAATGTAAGCCTTTTCTGTTTAATCTCATAAATCTCACTAAAAGTAAACCAGCCCCAATCTGTAATAAAAAGATCCATCGTTTCCCTTCAGCTCTAATTGTTGGAAACATGAGCAGTAAGCTGCTGAAGCGTGCATTGGATCCTCATGTGGCTTTGGAAATGTACTTTTTTCTTTTCATATTGCACCAAGTCACAATTGATGACATCTCTGAAAGGAATATCAGACATCTGCTTTAGTTTCCAGAGCTCTCTCTAAGGTTTTGAGGGGTGACTCATGTACATAGATGTTTCCAGCAAAGGTGTAACTTTTAAACTGTTTTGTGGCAGTCTGCTCTTAGATTTGTGTGCTTGTACAAACAAGACTTACCCGTGAGAATGCTGAAAGGTGTTTTGCATCTCATTTCTTTTAGTCAGAGGATGTTTTCTCAGTGTTTGACCATATTGGAAGATGGAGTCAAGCTAACAAAAGCACTCATACATATAATTTAAACAATCTATGACTGACAGTGGCCAAGCACATAATACTGTGTTTTGACATTCATTGTGTTTATTGAGAGGAAATGAATATTTAGCTTAGTTTCGTTCAGCACGTGTTGTATCACAAAATCAGCTCTGTCTGTGCATGCACGTACGTTTCTGACTGGAGATGCCAGGATGTGCATGTGATGCACTGAACTTCTGTAAAACCTTGTCACCTTTCCTTCCATTGGAGCTTGCATTGGAGGATACAGTCAGCAAATCCACCTTTCCCTTCATCAAAGTTTCCATCTTTCCCCTTTCAAAATCAGAAGATCGGTTTGAAATATTGAGCAATTTACTCATTCCCCAAACGATGCAGTAAAATAGTTACTACAACTTGAAAATACTTGTCTGAAGCCTGTTCTGCATACAAAGCATGCGATGGGACAAAATCTGGGAAGGACGTGGGCTCATACGTCTCTGTTTATTCATCTGTCTGGTATGTCTGGGAAAGTGTGGAGTTACATGGTCCTCTGATTTGTTCACCTGTAGCAAAGCCAGTGGCACCCAGTCAGCTCATAGTGGACTGTAAGCAGTGGCACTGCTGGGTTGAGCTGTAGGGCTGTGAGGAGAGGGATGTCTGTGCATCTGTGAGTGTTTTATCCACTAAAGGTGCTGCATTATGAGTGATTTATTGTGATTTAGGAACTAGAAATTCTTCCTGGCTTAATGTTTAAGGCTTTTATTTCATCTTCGTGGATGAATTAGATTCTTGGGAATTGTTCCGTAGGAGGGATTTGGGGCCTGCATACCTCAAACCCCAAGAGAGTGGGAAAGCAAAGAGGCCGCGGGTTCAGCTCTGAGGCACAGGCCTTCCAGGGGACCAGGGAGCCAAATCAGAGCCCGGTGGTGTTGGCTTTTGAAGTCATCCATGCAGAATTATGCTTTGGAATCAAAACTTGTCTCTCTCCCAGAGAAGTGGTGCCAGTGTCTTCGCTGAGTTTGCTTTGAAAACAGGTTCCCAGCGTAGTCCTCCCCGCAGCGATGTCTCCTGGAGGGCTGCGCTGCCCTCGCTGTCCCTGAGGTACTTGCTAATGCTTCTGATTTATAAGACATCATTTTAAGTAGCTAGTGTATGGCTGAGCCGAAATACACAGCTAATGCATTTGTTCTGTAGCTTGGTGTCCTAAATCATGACCTTTCCCTTCATGCATGTGAAAGACCCGGTGTTTTCCTTCTCTGTGAGTTGTGGAATTCAGCCCTTCTGTCTTGCCATTAGAGTCTCCTCGATAATGTCAATGTTGAGGGTTGTTGCTTAATTATTTAACTTCCTGTCATTACCTGCTTTTAGAATGTGAAACACTGGTGAAAGTTACTATATGCTGGAGGAGAGCAGTGCAAACCTCCGTGTGTCTGTGGTACCAGCAGCAGCCTGGGCAGCACTGGTTGCAGGCTGCTGGCATGGGGCTGGTGGGATGCAGGGCAGCACGGGGCTCTTAAACTGCCTCATTCATTTTGATATTAGTCCATATCTTATTAGGTTGCTTTTCATTTCCTGGCTGTTGTTTTAATCATTTAAATTGCTGGAGTATAACTGTATCTTTCTATAAGCATTCTTTTTCAAATGTGGTGATAATCCATAAAGCGTTGCTGTCGGTCAGCTTGAGAAATCAGAAGAATTAGTGTTGTTGGTGATGGAATTTTGTCACAGCTGCTTGTATGCACATTGTTAAGAGAAAATGGTAGATTTGTGTGTGTGTGTGTGTGTGTGTGTGTGTGTGTGTGAGTGCTGATTCGGTAAAGACTGGTTGTGGGCAGAGGTGAAATAATTATTTTGTTTCCTGTTGGGTGGCAGGGAGGATTGGGCACGTAACAGTTACAGAGCTTTTAGAGATGCCAGGCTGTTATCCTTGTGGCTGGGACCCGAGGTGAGTTGACCCCACAGGAACAGATGATGATACATACTGTGATAGGTGATCTCACAAAGGCAGAGGCCAGTCCTCTCAAGATGCAGTGATAAAGACAAGTCTTCCATTAGTGTTTCCTGTACTGTACCTGCAAGTAGAAAGCAAACTTGAGCCTTTAGGACTGGCAATAACACTGCTTTTATTAAGTTTCTTTTGAAGGACTGTTTTTAGTAAGATAAACTGATGGGCTGAACACAATAACCTTCAGTATCTCACTTTCCAATACTTAGTGGGCAAACACTACTGAATAAGAGAAGAAATTAAGCTAAGATATATTTAAAAAAAAAGGTTACTTGGCAACATCCCAGTGTATGCAAAGAAATGAAAGAAGGGTCAGGAACTTAGTGAATTTCAATTATAGAATCTTGCGTTAGTAAGTCGTTGCATGAATAAAAAAATTCTAAACCAGATTTGGGTGCTATAGTCTGGGGGGCATTGCCTAGAGCAAAAGGAGGGTTGTTAGGAAATAAAGTGCAGAGAATGGCAAAGCAGAGCTGCTGTGTGTGAACAAACTGGGCTCCCCAGAGGCACTGGTCGTGGCTCATGCAGAGACAGTCTGAGCAGGGTATGTAGCAGAGATGAAAGCTGGTGTTTGTGTTGTGTGTGATCTGAAGAAAACATGCTTGGAAGAGTGGAAATGTTGATTCAGGGACCCTCATGTTTAATGTGTGATCTATTTCTAAAATGCTTCAAATTGACCTAGAGCGAAGGGGGGTTTGTTTGGGAATAAACTACAGGGAATAGCAAAGCAGATACCAAAATGCTGTGGCCTATAGTTATTTCTGCCCAGCTTAGTAGTGTAATTTCAATGGATAAGTGAGTTTTCCTCTATAATAATGATTTTATTATTTTCTAACTCTTGTAGAAAAGATGAATCCATCGATTGCTTTAGCTCATGTTTTGCAGTGAGGCATTTCAGTAGTGATAACTGGTTCTGTGACTCAACTAATCATGTGTGGCTCTCTGGGAGGAAAAGGAGGTGCAGTACCAAAAAGGCAAAGAGTTCTCTGCTGAACTGCCCCTTCCCATACCGTCCAGCCCACAGCAATTTTGTTTTTAAATAAAGACCGTATCAAAGTAAACACAGTCTTGTCGAGCCTGAATTCTACAAAAAAAAGTTCAGCGACCCAGTGGCAACCAAATGTGAGGCATGCATGGGAAATACAGTTTGAATGGAGCTACTTATTCATGGCACCTAGGAAAATGCAGTCTGACCAGTAGCTCTCTCTGCACGCACAGTTTTCTCATATGCTGGAATTTTAGCTGTGTGTAAGCATTCTCCCAAATCTAAAATAGATTCAGTAAGGCCTTGTTAGGAAGTGCATTCACGTGGCCGTTTTTTCATTGAAGCCCAACAAGCGCGTGTCCGCTTGGAGATTTCACTGTAAGCTCCTCAAAGTAGGGAGCTTTCTCACCTCCCTAGGGAGCTGGAATTGAGCACATCAGCAGAAGTTATCACACACTTCAGTGTGTAGTTGTTAGTAATTCAGTGTACTGACTTTCATAAGGTAAAGAAAAACTTACGAAGTTTGTATTTCCTTGTTTTTCATGCAGTACGAAGAGCAAAACTAATAAATTCTGTCAGATATTCTTTTCTACTTTCAGGCTCCAATTTTTGAATGCACATCGTTGTGTTGGTTTGTTCCAATATACACCTATTGAATAAAATTATTTTAAGTGCTTTAAAATGCTTGGTTTGTTTGCAGTGCTGCAATGATTAGGGATGGTAGTGGACCATAATAATTCCTGCAGCTCTTAGAATTAAGCTGAGCTCTGTCCATGATCAAAGTAGCACATCAGAGGAATGGATTGAAATTCTATATAGCTGCAGCAGGGTTTGATTCAATGTTAGGCCAGGTTCTGTGCTATTCCAATGTTGAATTATAGTGACGGATGAGCTCAGGATTTTTGAGAGTAAGGAGTTGACACTATGCTCAATTCTGCAATTTCCAGGCCTCATCAAAGCATTGTAGCTGAGTGTGTGAACAAACACCCTTGCTGGGAATGGTAGGAGTGCCTGTGCCCTTGAACAAAATCATATACTGAGCTCAGCTCAAGTGAGAGCCTTTTGCTGGCCCACCTGCAGGACTTGTTATCTAAAACCTGTGCACCTGTTTATTTACAAGGCAGATGTTGAAAAAAAATCTATATAAATTCTAAGTCCCGCAAACCTTTTTTTCCCCTTCAGTGTTTAATTTTGGTATCAGGAGCAGAAACTGGTCATGTCCTACATATTTACTTAATTTTCCTTCCTTACCAGGTAAGTATTTGAGAATGTGGTCCCTCCTTGATTTTTGGCAGCGTTACTTTACAGTGGTTTCTTTCAGCGTGGTGTGTGCAAATGGGTGTGCATGCGTACTGATGTCTACTTGGATTTGTGTTGATGTTTGAAATTATAGATGTGAGGCTTTTAACCTTGTAACTGTTACGAGATCTTTGTGTCTGCTTTAGGGTCGACCCTATCCCATATGATACTCCAAAACCAGCGGGCCACACGCGATTTGTCTGCATCTCAGACACACACTCCAGAACAGATGGCATCCAGATGCCTTATGGGGACATCCTTCTCCACACGGGCGATTTCACCGAGCTGGGACTGCCCTCAGAGGTTAAGAAGTTTAATGACTGGTTAGGTAAGGAATTACTGCGTTTTGGTGACCCCAATTAACCTCTCCTGTCCAAGTGTCAGTCACTGCTTCCTAATTGAATTAGAGCACATGAGAATCCACCCCCCCTACCTTTGCTTCACTTGTCCTCATGTGATGTGCTGTTTCTAGCTCAGTATGATTCTGTTAATTAAGACAAATATAAGGACTTCACTTCATTTCTGCGTTATCTTGGGGGAAAGATTCTGTCACTCCCAAGCAAGGACTGTGCAACATTCTGTGTGCCCTGAGGGAGTGGTGGCACCTAATGTGAGTGCATTCAGCGTCCATGACGCTATGGGCTTTTATGTCCACATCCAAAACTAGTGCTTGCTCTGCCTTTTTGGCTGACTATAATTTCAAGCAGGACTAAAAGCTATAAACTATAAACAGAAATAGTGAAAGTCCTTTTTCTGAATGATACAGGATGTCAAAATTTGAAGGAGGAAACTTTTACTGGCATAGTAACGTGATTAGTGCTTTGAGCTAGAGAACTGCTTTGCACAGAGATGCTCAACGCCTCCTAAGCAGAAGGTGTTTTGTATTGTGCTGTATTGTGACAGTGTCTTGCTATTGTGTAGCTACAGATGAAGACAATTAGCTTGCAACAGCAGAAGTCCGAAAGGTAGAAGGAGAACTTGTCCGTGGTGCTCCTGTTGCAAATGCAGCTGGTAGGCTCGCTGGGCACTGCTGTGTTACCAGTTACACTAGAAATCCTCAGAGGCGAAAGTGACTCAAGCCAGCTGATCCTCCAGAAACGTTAGACGAGTTTAGAGCAGTGCATAAAAACCTTTGAAAACATGGCTTTGTCATCATGCTTTAACTCATCTCTACACCTCATAATAGCATCATTTTATTCCATTGGAGAACACTGGCTGACCATTCAAGGGATAAGTAAAGAATATTAAGATTTGCAAAAGTAATTTTTAAATAAAAGAGCTTTTATAGTCTCAGTTTTTTCACCTGCCTTTGCACTTTGTCCATACTGTTCTTTCAAACCATCTGCCCTCTGATCTTAGGTTTCTCTGGTGCGATTTTAAAGAATGCTTTTCTGCCTTTTATGTGGTTGTGCATGCAGGACTGGGGCTTTGGGGTACTGCTGTGTTATTGAAATTTGGTTGTATTGTTCATATTTCTAGAAAACAGCTCTAGATTTAATGGCCTCAAAAACTTTTTTTTTTTTTTTTTTTTTTTTCCCCCCTAGGCTTCACTAGGCTAGGAATTCAGAAATGGTATGAGAAGTAGTTGTACATAAGTTGATGGAAAACACATAATAGGAATCGTCCTCCACAGTTTATATGCTTTGTTGCTTATGTACTTATGTCCAGGTTTGTGATGACATGTACATGTTCAAGTACTGCAAAGAAGGAAGAGGATGAGAAAGCAGTGTAAGGGCTGGGTAGGCTGCAGGGCTCCCCTGAGCTCAGGAGGTGTGGTCCCACCCAGTTCCAGTCCTTGTGGACAAGTTAGGCAGCGCTGCTCTTCAGTGAGGTTCAGTTGTCACAAATGCCTTTGGTATCAGGCAGCTCCAGGAAAGGAATTGCTTTCTGGAGTGTGTTGATCTCCGAAGTGAATCCCTGTGAAAGTTCTTTGGCTATCAGGTCATTACACAAGTATTATTTTGTTACAACCAGAGCCTATGTCCAGTGTTTTGTTGTTGGAAAATTCTGACTCAGTACTTACTGCTGAAAGCCAAAGCAAGTAAGTTGATACTGTGTTCCCAGATTTCTGCAGGGACTCTTACAGCATAAGCATTGGCATTTCCCTTGTGTATAACAGGCATTTCATGATGGCATTATTTTATCACATACATCCTTTGTTTAACATTTGCAACAGACAAATCTTAACTCTTTGAATAGATTTTGTTCCAGCCTGAATAATATATCATGGGGCTTTCTTAACATACATAGTTCTTGTAGATGTCAGCATGGTATTTATCTGAGAAAGCAGCTTTTGCATTCTTTGGCACTTGGTGTCACTGAAGCTAGCTGGAAGCTATGGCTGCGAGAGGACCTGCTGGTTTTGTCCTCAGCCTTTTATATTTCAGGTGCAGAGAAAACCTCTTTTGGTGTTTAGTTGGTTTTTTTTGTTTTGTTTTGTTTTGTTTTGTTTTTGACAAGCACTGAGTTTACCTGTATCTCCATATATACAACAACACTGGTTATTAGGTTTCTAGCATGAAGTGAAGCTGCAAATTGATTCCTCCATGGAATCACATGAATATTGGCTCCAGTGCTGCCCTCTCCTCATTTGGAATCAAAACAGAATGAATTCATGGATGTGTTTTTGCCCTGTGTCTTCACTGGCAATCCTGTTGTAAAGCAGTGATGGAGTCAAAGCATCTGTATCTCTTCTACCTTGAGGAAACAAAACAAGAACTTGACTTCCTTCTACATCTTAGTTTGCTTTCTTTGTGGTAAAACAACACTTATCTCCACTAGGATTATATAATGGAATAATTTTAAGATGCAATGCCAGTCAAGTAATTTTTGTAGTTGATAAGCCAAGGGAAAATTAAAAGATGATTATAATGAATTTCTGTATCACTTTTTCTTCTCTGTGTGTTACATGTGTCAGAGTTGCAAAGACTGAGGGCAATTCCTTGTGACTTTAAAGTTTGTTGGTCCCACACACCGTTGCAAGTCTTCAATGATTTCACTGAAACAAAATGTTCAGCACCTTGAGTGTTACTGAGATGAGTGCATGCTTTTACTCCTTGTCTCTGCATTTGGATCACAGAGCATGCTTTCTACATCTTCTTTTCTAATCTTTCTAGCTCTCAACCCATCGTGCAGCTTTTACAGATTCTTAGTTTTTTTTTCCCCTTCAGTTGATAAATTTTCATTGTTGGTTTTCCGTGAAAAGTCATCTAGGCTCATATGCTGAATAACCTCTGTGGTCACTTAGTGATTGCATACAATGGCTCAGTTAATTTATTCTCTTTGTTTTGGTGTGAACACGTCCCTCGGGTCTTGTAACTGCTGTAATCACTTGACCTCAGTGACTATTAAATGCTTTAAACACAGTTATTTTAAATTTATAATTGTTTTCATTAAAAATCTCTTATAGTAACTTAACTGACCTTGCAGTAAACACAACATTTTTTGCCGAGGAAGAATGAAGACATTATTCTGTGCCCAGTATAAGCCTCATTGAATGTACTCAACATATTGCTGTTACCAGCATTCCTGTTTTCCCTGGCCTTTCTCATTCAGTCATATATGGGAAATGAGATGCAGGAGTGTCTTAATTATAGCTCTGTCTTTGTAATATAATACTTCCTTTCCTGTGTGATGGAAAGTGATTGAGTAATTGAAATGAAGAGAAAGCAAAGATAAATTCAGGCAGGTATATCTTTACTGAATGATAATATGCACGTGGTGCTCAATTAGTATGGGCCTGATTGTGCATAGCCGTACTTGTGCAAATAACTCACAACTATTCCAGTCATTTTCTCAAAAGTTTTTTTTGTTGTTGTTATTCGGATGGTTCTTTCATATTGTTGATTTTTTTTCAGTCATTTTTTAATTAAGTTTTCTACTATGAGATGTATTATTGGACAAAGCTGGCAAAGTTTTGTAGTGGTGGATATCATAGTATCCTTGGAATCGGAAGGGACCTTGAAAGGCCATCGAGTCCAGCTCCCCTGCAGAGAACGGGCACACAGCTGGGTCAGGTTGCTCAGAGCCCTGTCCAGCCTGGATATGGATGGATCCAAGTAGGTGAAATGACTGCCAGCAGAGTTAGTGCTGGGGGAGAATTAAGGCATTATTCTGTGCCCAGTATTTTTCTCACTGAATGTATTCAAAAATAGATTTTAGTAGATTTAATGGATTTAATAGGGTTTATTTGTTTGTTTGTTTGTTTCTGAGTTATTTTGGGATTTGGCAGCTTGCTTATTTTATGGGGTTTTTTTCTGCCGTGTTTTTTGTTTCGAATGCCCGTTCCAGTATTTTTCTGATTATTCTAGATTATTACTCGAGGAGTTGAGGAACTCTGTGAATGATGCTGTGAACAAATAAATATGGGTCTGGAGTGTAACAATTTTATTTTTCTAAATTGCAGTCTATTGTTGCCTTTGATATAGATGGTCTTGATACAGATAAAATTAAAATTGAGCTTTTCCCTGCTGTTTAGTTTCTCCGTCATGCTACTTAAAGTGAAAAGAAAATATTGATTGTACTATTTTAATGCGGTGTTTTTCTTGCTACTTTATACATATATGGGTATGGTTCTCAGAAATGTGTCATTGGTTCTTTTAAAGTTTATTTTTGTATTAGTTGGACTGATGTTAAGTAGCTCCTGCTCATTTAAGAGTGTTTAGTTCTAGAAAATAGAAAATAGCTGCTTCAGATTGCAACTGCTGCCTGTAACAGAACAAATGACAAAAGAAGTGCACTGGAAATGTGGTAGGTAAGGACAGTCAGTTGATTCTTTGTGTATTTAGCACCTTAGAAACTGGAAATTATATCCAAAACTGCCAAAATAATCTTCAGAAAATAAGACCTAAGCTGGAAACAGACAAAGAGCTGTAACAAAATGGTGTACCACGTTCAAGCTCTTATCACCATTTAAAAATTTGTGATTACAGTCCTCGTGTGTTCTTTCTCAGTCTGGCTCAATTGTTCCCTCATGCTACCCAAGCTTGATCTCTTATCAAGAAATATTTCATTTGGAGCTTTGTATGACTTTTGCTTCTGTGCACTGAAAACAGTGGCGGTATGACCAACTATTTGTCCTTCAGAGCTTTTGCTCCTGACCGGTGTGCTTCAGATGTGAGTTATCTCAGCATCTGACACGAAAGTTTTTCTATTGAGACAAGCCAGTAAGCTCTAGATTTCTCAAAATTCAGAGGGATATTAGCTCAAAGTATTCTGCACTAATTTAGATCCAAAAGGAAGCTTATGCATAATTTAGAGTAGCATTATGGCAATAAAAACAAATGTATTCCTATTTTTATAAAATGATTTATTTCTGATTTGTGTTTT